ACCACGACGACGAAATCTTTTCATGTTTTTTCGTAAATGACGACGACGTCGTTAACACGTTGCGGTCTCGGCAATAATTGTAGAAAATTAGAGGCTGACACAGTGCGGTTTAGAACAAAGAGATTGAGAAAGGGATCCCGACGAACGTTACGTAAAAGAGAGATCTTCTCGTGGAATTTAAAATCAGGCTTGGAAACAGCGCAAAAGACACCCACGATTTACGGACAGACCTTTCGCGGGAGAGATCGAGGAAGCTGTCTTGGACGCGTCTCGAATCCGTTGCACGCCGTTCGTCGGCATTGCGAAATTTAATTCTATTCCATCGGAGGTGACGATCAGATCCGCGATGTTGCGCAAGCATTCGTACACTTTTAAAAGTCGTACGACACCTCCGATTGCACGATCGGTTTTTCATTCATCGTGACCGGTGCCGATGGTGGAGTCGTGTGATCGCGAAATCTCGAACCAATGAGGCCGTCGTCGGACGGTCTATTTCCTCGGCGTGGATGCCGTAACGGTGACACCCGGCTTTATTACGATTTCGAGGGGAATGCGAAATCACTTGAACCGGGTGTCGCGCGACGTTCCCCGGGTATTAACGCCCCGGCAGCAACGTAAAATCGGTTTCACGAACCGCTGAAAGCGTTATTCGCGTCGCGATTCATCATTCGCGTCTCGACTCTCGAATATGCTCCGCGTTTCATGCAACGGCACGCGTCAGTTTACGTCGACCACGCGTATTATCCGTCATCGGAGAGATCTCGACGATTCGGACCAGAGAGAAATCTATTTCCCTCTGCGTTTCCGGGCCTTTTCACTAGGAGGGAGCGGCGAAAGATTCACCGTAAGCGTAAACACGGGTTCACGGGACGATGAAGATGTTCCGCGATCCGAATCAATGGGCAAACTTGGACGCGATGCGATACGATCGATACGCGAGAGGTTCCAATTAATCTGTGCGTTTCTGCGGCCTAGAATTTTAATCCTAATTGGAAACTTGTTATCAGATTGCGTACGGGGGAGCGTCTGGACGTCTTGGAAAACGATTGTAAATAGAAATGTAAAAGCAGTCGAGCCGTGGAATCTGGTATGATCGTTCATACAAACACGGACGGAAGATATTGTTCGAGGGTTTAATTAAGCGTATCCTCGAAGGAATTTACTATCACCGTCCATGCGACATTATTCGAGGGTTTAATTAAACGTATTCTTCTTCTTCCTCTTCTTCTTCTTGCTCCTATTCCTACTCCGTTATCTATCGATTACGTCGACGATAGATGGAACCGTGGCGGGTCTCCGAGGTGTAACGGTGAACAAGGGCACACCTGTAGATACGGCGACCTATGACCTAACTGGGAATTGGCCCATTCGTTCTTGAAATCTGGTTCAGTATATCTGATGCGTGCAACCTCCTATCTTACTCCAGTTATTTCGCAATCTCGACTAATTATCGCGGGAACGTGTAACGCTTCAAACGACACCGAAGAATCAGACTGAGAGAATTCAAGATGGATCTCGTCCACCGAGAAAGAGTCCTCTAATCGGTTCGAGTGCTCGGCTTTTGCCGAACGTTCTCAAAATACGGCGGGCCTCGAAATTATCAAAGCGACGCGATGGAAATGAGGGATGAAGAATCTTTCTAGCTTTGACGCTACAAACGAGCTTACTACCCCGACGAGCGCCGATTGATTCACAGATCGATGAAACGCAATTATAATTGATCCGAACGGTGAGAAGTGGGAAGCCAGCCGGAAAGCTAATTATCGCCACCGCTGAGAGGTGTTCTCAGTCTGAGAATTCTACTAAAATCGAGAGACACCGAGGTCGAGCTCGGGGTTACGGGGGTCGGGTCGGGTGGTGATGGTGACGGTGATGGTGACGGTGCTGGAGGAGGAGGAGGAACCATCGGAAATTACGAGAGCCAAAGTAGTATACCGAGCATAAGGGGATGGGGGGGGGGGGGCAGGAATCCGTGCTGACATCGGGCTATATCTGAACGTTCGAGGCTCAATTTCAATTTTCCGCCCTTCGAATGCAGAGTGCAGCAGCTCGCAGCTTTATATACACACACGGACGGTCTCGACTCCTTTCCACCCACGCGTACATTGCCCGTCAAAAGTTTCCATTGTTCTTCCGTCGGATCTCGTAGATGCGTCGCGATCGTCGCCAAGATCTCTCGACCGTACAGTCTAAGTAAGTAAGTACGTGAACGCGTCGGATCGACGCGGTTAATTTGGCCACGGGCGAACGGTCGCAAAGTTTCCCGAGCTCTCGTTTCGCGAACATGATTCTCGTGGCAATCAGAAATTTTGCACGATTCAATTTCACCGTCGTTAATTCCGCGTACTCGTTCTCGGTCGGAGATGGGCTCGTTGATTCACGCGCAAGGTCGCGTTTCTTGCCAACGGCCCCCGAGGATCTAACGATCTCGCGGGCGTTAGTTTACGCTCGCCATTAATTTTTATTATTCATCGGTGTTTTTCTGCTACGTTGCGCTCGTGTTGCGTCTATAAATTTTCATGAAATCCGTTGCCACTCCGATGCAACTCGGAATCTCCGTTCGACGCGTTTCGCCGCGGCGAGCCAGACGTTCTTATTGTTATCGTACGGGAGAACAATTTTCAACGAGACCTCCACGCGTCTAAATCTAAACTCGTCCGATCTCGCCGGAGATCGTTTCCATCGCTCGTCGTCGCGACCAATACGTTTTCTCGATTTAATGAAAGGGAATCGACCGGCTTGCGCTTCGTCCCAAACAAACACCGGTGTGCCGGCCAATATCGATCCCGTGACAGTTTCCCGTCCCAGTCCAGACTCTGTCGAGCCACGTCCGAAAGACGAAACGGTCTCAACAGTTTCGTATCAATCGTCGGGACACACCTCAAGGGGTTTACCCTTTGACGCTAGCGTCTTGGAAAAGTTCGACCGATCGAACGCCGCCCCGTAATCGCCGTTCCACATACATATACGTACGTGTACAGACGATCATGAGAATCGCGTCGCGTATAACGCGAGCCGATAATTCGAATCGCGAGACGAACCGGTGACGATGCTCACCGTTCGGATTCGTTCGATTCGAACGTTCGGTAGACCGATCCTAAATACGTCGGTACGCTTGGCGCCCTCAACAATCAATTTGAATGGAAATGGAAAAGCAGCAAAGTTTTGAAACGCGACCGCGCGTTCACGCGGTTTACCTTGCTCGAATCGTTCGTCAAAACCGTTGAACCGCGTTTCACGCACGAGCGATTAATAATTCATGGGAAAACACCTCTTGGCCCGCTGGAAAAGGCGGCGCGTGAATAATTATCACGTTCCACCGTCTGCACAGGGGCATCGGGGGGGACAACGCGTCCAATTGCCAAAGTCTACAGACGAGAAAGAAACGATGCTCTCGCGCGATTCGATGATCGACGGACGGGTAATTGCGCCAAGTATGAAATCATACCGATCTAGAATTGTGTCGGGCATGGCACCTTGAAACGGCGAATAATTTATCGGGACGGTGCGAAGGGGGCAACGATATAAGCAATTTCGCGCGTACAATACACCCTCCTGCCACCGCCGCCGCCGCCGCCGCCGCCACCGCCGCCACCCCACCAATAAATATGAGCAGAGTAGTGATAAATTACGAAGGACGATTAGAGCGGTGGCGATAAATTAACGTGGACGTGCCACCGCGGTGTATCAGCGTCCTCGCGATCAATCGACTGGCAAGATTAATCCCCGTACGCACCATCGACTTTCACAGTTCTTTTTTTCCCCTCCCGTGTATCGCGACGACGATACTTTTCGGAGTGACCCACACCCCACCTTCTTACGCGCGTTTCAAATCGTTTTCCGAATGCGCGTGCACGCTCCAAGGTTTCTCACCTGGCATATTTTAATTCGATCTTCCGATCGTCGACTGATCGACGTGCACCAACTACTTTATCAGCTATAGGCAGCCAGAGCGTCGTGACCAGCCCCGCAGGCATTAGCCTCTGAGGGAAGCAACCGGCATTAGACGCGAAACGCGAATTTGCATAAAATTAATTATGCGACCAACTAATTAGATACAAACTACGTTGCAGTTGCTCTTTAATCGTGACACCAACTGTCTCTTCGTATCGCCCAACGATCGACAATCATTCCCGAATTACCAACAGATCGTACAAACACCGTCTAAATGAATCAACGGTAGTGAGAGACGAAGGAATGTAAAATAATTCCTTCGAGCCGGATTCGAACCAGCGACCTATGGATATCTCTGTGTATCGCGAATCGTCTCCAACTACAGTCCACCGCTCTACCAACTGAGCTATCGAAGGTCTCGCAAAAGTCGTTCGCTCGAACGCGAACAAATAACGCGTACACCGTTCACGTTTGCATACATTACGAAAAAAAAAAGTGACGGACGACTGACGGACGAATCGCTTAGAATCAAACGATAGAGCGTGTAACAACTCTGGTTGTTCGATGATTTTATCATACGACGTGTACACGATCCATGATAGAGACGAGTAACGTTGTTAAACGTAACAAATATCCATTAGAAACTACGTTTCTGTCTGAATTTATAATCGAGCCAGTGACCATGAAACAAATCGAAATGATATTTCTCAGTGACCCGATGAATAATCGGACGATGTCACTCTAAGAGCGCGCGTGGTGTCATTCTCTCACGGTCACAGCGTCACACGTACGTACACACGCACCATGTGGAATCGTAACGCGACACTACGTGACCGTCGTTCGACGTGAACGTTCGTCAACGTTCTTCGTAACTTGAATTCTCGATTACGACAACGACTAACCATGTCTGATATGCTGTAGAACAGATGAACCTGTGCGAGTTCTCGATGTGGGAATTCGCGGTTCGATCGTAACGATTGTCGAGAAGTGACAGGCGAATCTCAAGGTCTCGCGAATCTCGACACGACTCTGATCGTAACGTCACAACGGAAAAAATCAAAGAACAAAAGCATGCAGCGTTATCAACTACATAACCTATCACTCACCGATGATGCCACCGTTGATCTCTGCGATCGGCTGCTGGCTGACTGAGACGGTCCTTGACAGCGACGAGTTCTCAGGGTCGTGGGACGCGAAAGTTCATCAGAGGCAGCCGTCACCGTCTCGAAACATTTCCCGAATCCTCCAAGCACTTTTGTTTACACGCACCAAGCATCGTCCTTTTAACTCTGCACGTTCACACTCGTGGCACGTTTCAGGGCAAGTCCCACTCCGTCTCTAGTTTGGAACACGAGCCGCCATCTGGCATGGAACCCTGTGAAACAAACGGTTTAATTCTTGTTCGCGCCAACGACAGACGCGGGAACCGAATTTACATGCAATTCTTTCGACACGTCTCTCTTCGATGTATGAACCTGGACGTGCGTTAAATTCTACGACAAATTCTACGATCTTTCACACTGATTCGACTAGCAGCTACTTCTAAAATGCGCAATTCGGACACGTTCGCGGAGGACGCGATGCGACGAACCCAAAACATGGAATTACATATCTAACGCGACCAAATCCATTCGTCACTGGCACGAACGAACGCGGAATCGATCAGACTTTACGTTTCGACGCGGTGTTCCATGAAATTCTCATATTTTACGTACCTTTTTTAAAAACTTCCGGAGAACGAGCGGACTGCGTACGACGTTCACTAGCGGCCATCTTGAAATGATCACGTGACGTCGTGCGCCGTGCCGTCGTACGCCGTGCCGTCTCGCGGCGACCCGGCGAATTACGAATTACGAATTTTCAATTTTCAATTTTCAATTTTTCACGCTGCGTCGGGTGCATTCGCACTGATTCGCACGAAAAAAATACAGCATAAATCAGCATAAATCGCCGACGATACACAAACGACGTTTCGACAAGGCATCGAAACGACACAGTTCTCGTTACGCGTACAGATTTTATTGTTGTCTTTGGAAGATGTAACGAACGCGTCGAGCGTAATGTCTGTCGTAGAGTGGAGAACCCGCAAACGTTGGCACCAGAATCGTCATTCTGATCGAAGGAAATCTGTACCGGAAGATGGAAATCAGAGGTGGACTCAACGGCGGAGGTGGCGGCGGCGGCGGTGGCGGCGGCGGGTTCGCGTAAGAGTAAAAGGTACAGTCGAGCAGCAGGTAAGTACATCGGTATCCGAGGTACGACCCAGCCGTGAAACTGGAGGGAGATCGGCTTGCATGATCGGCCTGGTAAACCCGTAGTAGCCAGGGTATTCCGCTTTAGTGCGCGGCCAAACTAACATCACTTTGCCCGAGTGTACACACGTGGGCCCTCGTTCCCTCTTGGTTCGACTGGTTTTCAACTCCGTCTACTGCCCCCCCGAGCATCGATCCTCTCGGACAGAGTCGAACTTTCTTGTGCAGAAACAAGTCCCGGGCTCGTCCCCCCGAAGAAAAGTGTCCGAGCCGAGACGGTTTATGCGTTAACGCTGTGCAATATTTGTCGACGGTAAACGAAACGATTCAACGTTTGCGTATGCACACGGCGACAGTGAAATTTTCTGTGACCCTTTCCCAGAGGATTCGCCAACGATCAACATCAGTTTTAATGATCGTCGAACGCGATGTCTGCTACCATCTGTAAAACACCTGTCATCAATGCCAACGGGACCAATGCGTCTTGCGAGAAAGATCGTGTGAGTAGTAACAAACTACAAGTACCATAATCTCAACTCATTCACGCTCATTCTTCGACACGTACCGTTAATTAATCGTCATGATTTTATTTCTGCCCTAAGATCTGCTCCAGACTCGACGCGCGGTCACCATCGACGAGTAAAAACAAATTTAATTCATGAATTAAAGACGAAACTCGAGTTTCGTGGTCGACGAATTTCACTGTTCCCTCGTTTCGTTCGGACCTTGTTCACGTGCCCATTCGATGGAAATGAAAAATTCTAATTCGATCGAGTATATCGACATATCATTTCCGTTGTTTCATTGCAAATTCTTGTTTGTTGAATAACAAATTCTTACAGCACCGAACATCGCCCCACCATCGTTCTCATTAATTTCCTACATTTCTCGCGTATAACGTTGGAAATTTCATTTTCGCGGCCTCGTCGAACACCGACTCTATTATCGTTGCACGATACTCGCGAGAGAACAGTAATTACCTTTCTAATCGTGCAACGATCGAAACGCAATTTTAATATTCATCTGTACACGAGTTAGAAAGCATGAAATTTCATTTTGAAATCATCGCGTTCAACACACGGATGTCATACCTCTTATCATTGATCAACGTCGGTAATAACATTTCTCGTACGTTGAATTTCTCAAAAGCGTTCTTTATCAAACGTACGTGATCGTTCTTCCTTCATTCCTGCGTCGCGTTAACATTTTCTCGCGGGTACCGCGAAGGTTGCATCCAAGGTGTTTACTTTTAAATGGAACACACCGATAAATACTTTTTTTTTGCACGAACCGGTGAAGGAATCGGACGTCTGGGATCGCCTCACACGCTTCTGCATGCAATAAAATAGAATTGGACGGCTGTAATTAAAAAGTGAAACGACCGACGACGCAGTTAACTAATTACTAGTGAACTCCACGAGTCCAGACGTACGGAAGGATATAAATGTTTTGAACGTCGAGCAAACTTTTCCAGCTTCTGACATGGCATTATGTAAAAAATGCACTGGTGAACAGGTAATGATCACGGTCCCCTCGTGTTCGCAATGTTGCGCGAGCCAATAAAAAATAATGGAAGTCGTCGAGAGGCAATAAGAATTGTACACGTTTATTGTACCGCAGGGGTCTCATGTACGCACGCTCTTTACCAGGAACAGATACTTTTTCCTCTCGTCACGTGGACAATGCAAAAAACCGTATTATCAGCCTACTATTACTCTGTTTATGCGTCTGATCGTTTCACACACAATTCCGTCGGCTGCGAGATCCCTGCTGATCCCCGTCCCATCAGAATTCGTTAATTGCAAAAATCGTACGTACGTACAGCGGTAAAGCGTGGAGGAGACTCGGACTAAATATGAAAGTCGACTCCAAAGTAGGAAATGACTGCTAAAATGCTATTACGTGGAACGTAGAATGTATACGTACGTAATAGAAAGTGTGCAACAGTCCGTGCTGGATAGACCGTCCGATGCACACACGTACGCATCGATAAACTAGATTCAGAACTTTTTCTTGCGATCTACCTGTTTAATTAGTTAATTACGCGGTTAGAAACGCGTGCCTCGAAACGAGATCATGGAAACGGTGCTACTGATTCAGCTCGGCTGAATACCGTGCGCGTTCCTCTCGCCTGCGAGAACGAAAGATAAAGCTAAAACCGATTGGGAAAACTTAGGAAAACTAAATTGGTCAGGTAAACGTTTCTTTGTAAACGGGAACCGTGTCCACCGGATTTCACATCGGTATTAAACATTGCAATCGAAACTTGACTTGTACACGATCGCGCGCACGCTGTTAAACAATTTTCTCCGCTGGCAAACGTTTACCGAGCGACCAGTGTTGATCAAACTTTGAAATTTCATGAAAACGCGCGTAATCCTCGTAACGGTATACGTTTTCTTTGCCGCAATTGAGGCGTATTAACTGGTTTCGCCGTGGTACAGTTCCTCCCGAGTTCTGACGAAACTCTTTCAACGGTCGCGATTTCCTTGGCATTTCAACCAACACGGATGCAGGCGGTCCGAAGACCACCGTCTTAATGAAATGCACGTTCCATCGGCCAGTTGACGTAATCACGAAAATAATCAGATTCATTCTTGAATATTGTCAATCCGACGATTGTTACCGTTGGCCTTTCGGTCACGTCAAACGCTCGGTCACGTCAAATGCTGGCCAATTGTTTTCAAACGTTAGAACGCACGGAAACGTTATACTTATTCCAAGCTAATCGGAATATGCATGCCGCTTCAGTGTTCAGTGTCTAAGGCCGTGACCGGTTAACGCGTTCAGTCACTTATAAGATTGTTCGATTTTCAATTCGTCAATCGACACGAACCAAGTTTTTCTCTACTCACAGGAAGCTCGTCACGCTCGAGCATCGTTCGCACACGAGAATTTCATCAGTGCCTACAACATGCCAATTAATCGTGCTTAACTCGTCAAGTATTTGAGTTGCAAGAATAATCCACGGAAATTTTCGTCTAGAGAACGTCACAACTTTTATTTGAACATAATTTTTCGATATTTTGCGAAAAAAAAATTTTCGATTTTTTCCGAGATTTTTCCAAGGGGTACCCCTTCAGATTTCGCGAAATTTTCGTTTTTTGCCAATAACTTCTAAACCGTTGGTCCTATGAGAAAATTGCATAGGACCTTTCTTGTAGAGCTCGACGAGATCTACAATTTCCATACAAAAATTCTTCGCTAGCTTCAATAGTTTACGAGTAATTTGCAAAAAACTGTTTTTTCGTTTTTCGTCGATAACTCGTTAAATATTGAAGCTATCAATAAAATTTTATATGGAAATTGTAGGTCTCGTCGTCCCCTACAAAATGGTTCCAAAAATACCCCTCTAAGTCCAACCGTTTGGAAGTTATCGTCAAAAAACGAAATTTTTTTCCAAAAGTTGGCCGATTCGACGGTGGAATAGTCGGATTTTGTCAACATGAATAA